GTATTCATAGCTTCACCCCAAAACTCATTTGGTAACTTAGTTGAGGAAAGCATGCTTCTAACGCTTTCCATTATAGTACAATTCACTCTTTCTGCAACACCATTATGTTGCGTGTGGACGGAACAATCTTATCATGACGGATGCCATGCGTGGCACAATAGTCGTCAAACTTCCTTGAGGTGTAATCTCCACCATTATCTGTGTGAAGACATTTCAAGGACTTTGATGTTTATCTTTTAACCGTGACATAGAGCTATTGAAAAATTTCAAATACTTGGTCTTTGCTCTTCATGGCAAAGCTCCAAACTTTTTTGGATGCATCATTAATAAAGGTGACAAAATACAAAGCACCACCAAGAGTTTCACAGTCATAGGGCCACATACATCAGAGTAAACTAAATCAAGTATTTCAGTATCCCGTCTAGTTTTTGCATGTGAAAAAGAAACTCAATGATGTTTTCCTACTCGACAATGATTACAAGGGGTTGTGGGCGTACCTTTGAGACTTGGAAGAGAATTTCTTTTCACAAAAATCTCCAAACCTTTCTCACTCATGTGACCAAGTCGCTGATGGCACAAGTCAAATAAAGATTCTTCAAAGGTAGTGTTCATCTCACCTTTGGATAGCTGGGCCTCGGTCTTGTAGAGAGAGCAGCATTTCTTGCTTCTTGCCACAACAAGAGAGCCATTTTTCAACTTCCACACTTCATTGCCAAACTGTGACTCATACCCTTCATCATCAAGCATTCCTGTTGAGATGAGATTCACATTCTTGATTGATCCGGGGGCTAAGGAAATAGATAGAACGTGTGCCAACATTCCAAGAAAAAGGAAGAAATTCAATTCCTGAATTATATGAAGCCAATAAGCAAACAGCAAATCCATGGGTATTTGACAAAATTCCGTTACTCGAAGGAGAGAGGAACAAGGGCATTAAATGAAGACCCGAGATTTGAAGCACCGTCAGATCAGGCGCAAAAGCAACGGAGATTTGAAAACCGCTCAAGAAGTGTGGGAGACGCTTTACAACACATATCAAAGGGAAACATTCGACTGATCAGATTTTCGGGAGTGCGAGCTTGCCTTGCAGTTAAGGAAGGGAGCATTCTCGCCCATCAAGTGAGCGTTAGCTACCGCCGTGGGGAGAGGGTCCTTTGGTTCCAAAGGAGATCGTGACTGGTAAACTATATGCTTAGAATGAGAGCAAAAGAGCATGTCTGCATTCCCTTGTCTGTCTAGATCCACGGCAGGTGTTGTGAGAAAAGGAAAGGGCAGCTAAGCCCACTAGACATTCTGATTCAATCCTATAAGCTAAAACTTCCAGGCAAGCTAGTTCTAATTCACTCGCTCGTTAAATTGACACTCAACATAAGTGTGAAATTTGGAACATGTCTCACATCCTTGAGGACCAACTTGTAGCTAGTATTGGTAGTAATGCAAACATCACTCATTCCAGCAATTTTAGATACTTTATTATTTCGCATTCTTACCGAACCAAAGTCTCCCAACTTGTACATGGTAAAGAAATCTCTGTGTGAAGTAGCATGGAAGGATGCTCTTGAATCAATCACCCAATTTGAATCATCACATGCTGCACTAACACAAACTTCACCACATGTCCAGAAGATTATAACATCACTGGATGCAACTGCAATGGTTTCCAGATGTTCTTTGTTTTCATCAGTACATTTTCCTTCTTTTTTATCTCTTTTGAACTTTCGACACTCCTTCTTCATATATCCGGGCTTCGTGCAATAGTAACACATCACTCTTTTCTCGACTTGTATCTCTCTTTTGATTTTCTTCGGTTATGATTTTCTCTATTCTTTGGTCTCCCACATTCTTCAATGACTAATGCGTGTGAGTGGGACAAATCTAAAGATTTTCTTCTCACTTCTTCATTCAACAAACTACTTGTAACTTGGCTCATGGTAACAACCCCATTGGGTGCTGAGAGTTGCTAAGGGATACAACAAGGGTCTCTCAAGTATCGGCAATGAGCTCAACAACATTAATGCTTGCAGCTCATCAACTGGCACCATTTTCATGGCTGCCAACTGATTTACAATGCTTTGCATTTCATTCAAGTGTTCCGCAATCGACCTGTTCTCCTTAAACTTCAAGTTTACAAGTTTTCTAATTAAAAATGCCTTATTTTTTGTCGTCTTTCTCTCATGCAAATCATGCAATTTCTTTCACAAGGAAATTGCACTAGTTTTTGTTGATACATGGTGGAACACGGTATCATCCAACCATTGCCGGATGCAAGCTATTGCTTTTCAGTCTAACTTCTTCTAATCATTATCAATGATGGTTTCCGGCTTCTTTTCTATCCCCTCAATTGGCAAATAGAGGTCGCTTGAATAGAGAAGGTCTTCCATCTTGGCCTTCCAAATTGACCAATTACCCCCATTCAAACTAATCTACCATGTAGAGGTATTTGTATCCATCTTTGATTCACACACGAATAAAAAAAACCAAACCTGGTGTGCTTTGATACTAATTATTGGGAAGCAATGCCCTTCCCTTCTATGTGTGAATCAATGGTAAAAAAAAAAATCTCACAATGTACGTTTGTGCAAATACAAAAAATGGGCAATTTGCTAAGTACCAAGAAATGTAGAAATCACAAATCACAAAAAAAGGAAAATTCCACCAAGGACAATCACAACACAAGGTTTAATGTGGAAAACCCTTCAATGTGAAGGGGAAAACAATGGAGCAAATCTGAGTGAGGAATCCACTAAAATCAAATGAACGTTACAATATGAGTTTCTTCTCAAGTTTTTACCCAAAACTTGATGCTTACAATCCAAAAGAGAGAACAACAATAACTTGGAGAAAATATAAAGCTACATCACAAAGACTAACAAGATCATCTCTGTCCCACCTCAAAAAGGCCAAAAAAAATGGTCTTCCAATGGCTTGGAGATGTAACCGGAGAGCACACCAACTGTTCCGATTTTCCAGCTGAGTGTTGAGCCTGAGAGATAGCAGAAATGAACTCTAGAATGACCTAAAATGGTGATAGGAACCTTACTGCAGCCCTGCACTTTCTTCTAGCCAAGGGCCTTCAAAAACCCTATTTTTTTTATTGCAAGAGAGTCTCTCAACCGAGCCCTATTTTCTTTATCTTAAAACACCCTTGTTTTTCTCTCTCTAAAAAAACTCTCTCTAATCCTTTTTGTCTTTTTATGGGGCTAGACCCCACAAGGCAATCACGGTAACAAAAGCTACAGTTAATTTTTTATTTCTGTATGTTTTTTGGTAATTCAGTGGGGATGACGAGAATTGAGAACTTTCTTTCTGTATTTTTTTTGATAATTCTGTCTTCTTATGGGGCTGGACCCCACAAGGCAATCACTGTAACAAAAGCTACGGTTAATTTCATTTATGTATGTTTTTGAGTAAATCAGTGCGGATGACAAGAATCGAGAACCTTTGGTTATGGTTAATTTTTTATTTATGTATGTTTTTTGGTAATTCAGTGGGGATGACGAGAATCAAGAACCTTCTTTCTGTATTTTTTTTGGTAATTCAGTGGGGATGACGAGAATCGTGTACGTTGTTTTGTAATTCATTGGGGATGGAGATAACCAAGAACCATCTTTCTGTATGTTTTTTTAGTAATTCAGTGGGGATGACGAGAATCGAGAACCTTCTTTTTGTATTTTTTTTAGTAATTCAGTGGGGATGACGAGAATCGAGAACCTTCTTTTTGTATGTTTTTTTGATAATTCAGTGGGGATGACGAGAATTGAGAACCTTCCTTTTGTATATTTTTTTGGTAGTTCAGTGGAAATTATTTCTATATATTTTTTTGATAATTTAGTGGGAATGACGGGTTCCATTTTTTCAAATCATTAATATATGTTAAATGAGATTAGAAACTTAGACCTTAGCATGTGGAGCAGTGATCCTACCGCCACAACTCCAACCCCGTTCTCAAATATGGCACTAAAATAAGTGATTCTCTCTCCACCACCCCAAATTATAGGGGTTTTCATTTTTTTTCCCCTATATTTGTTCCAACTTCTTATACCTCTCTCCATCTGTTTCTCACTCTCTCTAGACTACCCCTCGAGATTTCGGGCTTCCTATGTTTTCGGTCTGAAATTTCGAGCTTCCTATCTTTCCTTCCTACTTTTTTAAAAACCCATTTTTGTCCAAAGTTTGTTACTCAACGAAATCTGAAACCGAACACTCTAGAGGGGTCCCAAGGGCCCAATGATCTATTTGATATAGCATTCCACGTGTTGTTCATGCGAGTGAGTATAGGAAGTTTGGTATTGAGATTATTTATTAATTAATAAAATAAAAACACTATATAGAACTATTAAAAATGGCAAAAGATTTCCTCTACTCCTGCTGGAGCATAATATGTGCAGACATAGATAAACAAGAAAAAGAATAAACCAAAAAAAACGTTGAAAGGGAGAGAAAAAAACAAAGGTGAGGTTTGTATGAGGTTACCTTGTTCTACTGTAGAAGTAGGACGCACATATAAAATGTACTCAGAGTTGTCACTTGGGCGTCGAAAACCATATGATGGCTTCAAAATATCTTTTTATCTATAGTTGTAAATTTTAAAATTTCAAAAACAGTAGAGATCCAGCGGATCAAGAAACAAGAGAAAATATTGAAAATAGACGATCAAGATAATTTGTTACATGATGCAATATTTTTTGGACTTAGAATTATTTTTTGTCTTCATGAACATTCATCTCAAGATTGAGATGATCAGTTGGAGGGTTTTATTGCATAGGAAAACCCTCTACTGTAGGAGTTTGGAGGTACAGGTTACTTCAACAGTATAAGGTTACAACCTTATATAATTTTTTTCAAAAAAAAGATAAATAAGAAAAAGAATAAACCAAAAAAAACATTGAAAGGGATAATAATAATAAATAAATAAAAATTGAAAAAAAAAAAAAAACCCAAAAAATGGAAAGCAAAACTGATCCAGCCCAGGACCCACCATCTCTTCCATAATGTAGCCATTTCCCAATGGCAATGGAAATGCCAGCCTCTCTCTCTCTCTACCATGGCTGATGATCTGAGCCATGGCCGCTTCCTTCTCCTGGTCGTGATCATGGTCCACATTGGGGTGGCCCTCTCGAACCCCCGCACAAATGTGGTGGCCGTCTACTGCACCAAGAGCCGCGCCCACAACATGACCACGTACCTGGCCAACTTCGTGCAGGCCACGAGAGCCCTCACCGCGCAGCTCACCACCACCGGGTTCGGTCTCGCGGCGGCCGGCACCACTGATGACAAATTCTACACCCTCTCCCAGTGCATGGGGGATCTCTCCATGCAAGACTGCGCCACCTGCTTCGCCCAGCTGAAGGCCATCCAATCAGGCTGCTTCCCTTCTACTGGTGGTCGAGTTTATCTCGACGGGTGCTTCCTTAGATCGGAAAATTACAGCTTTTTCTCTGAGGCTGTGTCCAACATTGACATGAAGGTTTGCGGGAGCACGACGAGAGATGGATATGAGGCGGTGGCGAGGGGTTTGGTGAGCAATTTGGTGGAGTGGGCACCGGGGAATGGCGGGTACGGGAGGGCGTCGTCCACAGGAGAGGGAGGGGATAGGGTTTATGGGCTGGCCAACTGCTGGCGGATCCTCGATGAGGAGTCATGCTCAGCATGCCTGAAGAAGGCAGCCGCTGCGGTGTTCTCGTGCTTACCGACCACTGAGGGGAGGGCCATGAATGCAGGCTGCTTCCTCCGATATTCCGACCAGAATTTTTTGAATGAGGGCCATGACATGCCCATCGAGATCAATAACAGTGAGCCCTCCTCCTTCTCCTTTACTCGCACCAAATCTATCATCATCATTATCCGAGCCTTATACCAACTGCCATTAACCGTTTTTATGTTTGTTTGATTTTAGTGGGTGAGATGGTGCAATCGTTTGGAACTCTGGCAGCTGGTATATTTGTGCTTGCGGTGGCAATCATCGTCGGAGTGATCCTTGCTAAATCCATACAGGAGAGAAGGACTGCAATCAAGAACACAGGTAACAATGACCCTCAATCTACGACCCGAAACAAATGTTTCTCCATTCTTAGTAGTCTGTATATATAAACAACTATATCATAAATTGCAGGAATGCAACATGATGAAATGGATGCTTCACTCTTTAAAAGAAGCTTGAATTTCAAATATTCAACCCTTCAAAAAGCAACCGGCTCTTTCAGAGAATCTAATAAGCTGGGTCAAGGAGGATTTGGTGAAGTCTATAAGGTAATCTCACACAAACCTCTGATTTCAAAACCTGCATTCTGAGTTCATTAAAAAGGCAATAACACCTATAGGTGTGAGGACATGCTTCCCATATCCAATATAATTGCAGAAGAGAAAATCCATGACTGTTGATCCCTGAATACCACCATTTTGGTGTTCTCCAAGCCAAAATGCCACATTCGAACCATAATTCGTTAAAATTGTGAAGAGGGAAACCAAATTTGGCATAAGTAGTGGTGTGTGATACTCAAATTTGACAGAAGAAGCTTCCTCCATTTCGAGACATGGAGGGATCCTATGATTCCTCTGTTCATTACCTGATCTGTTTTGTCTCTCCTTATGCAATTTTACTTATTAGTCTAATATTGTTCTATACTTCCATCAGGGAACCTTACTAGATGGAAGAGAGATTGCAGTGAAGAGGCTCTTCATGAACCCAAAGAACAGGGGTTCCGATATTTACAATGAAATGAATGTAATCAGTCGAGCGCAGCACAAAAATCTCGTGAGATTTCTAGGTTGTTGCCTCTCTGGCACTGACAGCCTCCTTGTCTATGAGTACCTCCCCAACAAGAGCCTCGATCGCTTCCTTTTCGGTGTGTGAAATAATCCCTCAATGTTTCACATTAGAGTGCCAATGTTTTTTCAGAATTAGTAATTGTGTCTCTAAGGTTGCTACATTTGTGATTCTGAGATATCATTCAGAAAAACTGCATTACATGGAGTATTTGTATAGCAGTTAACAAATCTAGCAAAAATCATAAGGGAAAAAACTCGAATTTTCCTTTTAAGCATATTTTCAGTAATCTCTACTTTAGATATTACATAGTGAGCTTGATCAAAATAATTGTTTTTGATAGGTATTTCCTGTTGTTTTGATATAGAATTAGTGTCTTCTATTACTTGTGCTTCTAAGTGTAGTTTCCTATATGGAAGTCAGTAAAATTCCTTGTATTTTCCTTTGAAAGATACTCAAATGTCAATGAATTCATCTTGATGTATGGGAGTTATTCATATGATGTTTAAGTTTTGTACTCATTTTTTTCTGAATGTGATTTAGAAAGTATTGCTAAGAAGATGGAAAAACTCACTTTTTTCTTTTCCTTATTTTGGAAATAAATCAATATAGGTCTAAAATTATCATGAGCTTAATGTTATGAAATTTTTTAAGTCCCAATTATTCTTTGTCAGAACTAAATTTTTTAAGTCCCAATTATTCTATGTCAGAACTGCTCTAGCACAATAATTCTTGTCACTCATATGCTTTTGTTTTAAGTAGTTGCTGTTGTTGTTGTTAGTACATTGCTTCTATTGTATTCCTTTCTTTGCAAAGGGTTGGATCAAATCTGCAGTTTATACATAAAAAAATCTTCGTGTGTTAATTATTTTATTCTTTAGTAGAAAAGCATTCTACCATCTTATAATGCAGAATATCGCTTTACAATCAGCTTTATGTTCCTTATAATAGTTTGATATTTACCAAAATATAATGCAAAATAGTTTGAATACCATGTGCAGCTCTACATAATGCAAAATGATTTCCAATAACTTGGTGAATACTGTCCAAATATTAAATTTTTTACATTAAAAGAACCGAAAGGATTTTATTTTGGAGACATCACTGCTATATCACTAGTTGTAAATCAAAATCCTTCATTCAATTAATCAATAGTTAAATTGTAAGTGAGTGCAAATTCTGTTTTAGGTGAAAATGTATCCCTATCTTGCTATATAATTAGAGTAGTCAATTAGGTATACAATTCTGACATTGAGTATTACTTTTATAACTACATTTTGCATTGTGGCTGCATCGCTCACGGTCAAAATACTGTAAATCTTTGCTTTAATCTCTCTCTTTTCCTCTCAATCATAGATTCAATTAGAAAGAAAGAAATTGATTGGAAGAAGAGGTTGGAGATAATTGTGGGGACTGCAGAAGGCCTAAAATATCTGCATACAGAATGTGAGGTGAGAATAATTCACAGAGATATAAAAGCCAGCAACATCTTACTTGATGTTAGGCTCAGACCCAAGATTGCAGATTTCGGCCTTGCGAGGTTCTTCTCTGGCGACAAGACCCATATAAGCACTGCAATTGCCGGCACTCTGTAAGCAATTTGACCTATCTCAATTTTATGGACTCATCCAATTTCCTTTTTAGATATAATTTTTATGCAGTCCTGCCAATATTCAAAGGCAAGATTCTGTACCATCTACACAATGGCATTAATATACACTTAATGAAAATTTAGCAGTCAACAGGGAGGAAGTAATGAACCAAAAAGTTTGAAAAAAATTGAAATACGAAACAAAACTCAAGAAAATAAATTTCATACCCAAATAATTAATAGCTCAGACCAATGACGAAAATTGAGAAAATACCTGTAAGAAATAGAAAAACAAATATGACAAGAAGGTTAAAAAAATAAAAACAAATTTTTCATCCAAAGAAAAATGAACTTGAGTGGAAATGGAAAAGAAAACAAAGATTCTTAAAAAAGAAAAGGAAATAATTCAAAAACCAAAAAAATGAAATTGATTAACAAAGAAAGTGCAAAAAGGCAAAAAAGAAAAGGAAAAAGAAGTAATTAAAATAAAAGTGATTAAGGATTTATTTCTCTAGAAAATAATTTATTTAACAAGAAACTTGCAATAATAACAATTATGAAAAAATGGAAAGTAGTGAAAGAAACGTAGATACCATAATAAGAAAGTAAATTTTAAGAGCCATAATAATTTATAATCTTAACTTTGAGAAATTCATTTATGCTTTCATTCTTTTCATTGAAAGGCTGCTTATTTAGTTATAATATCACCAGAATGATAATTATAAATTGGTGTGGATTGTTTCATTAGGGGATACATGGCACCTGAGTATGTTGCTCATGGACAATTAACAGAGAAGGCAGATGTGTATAGTTTTGGAGTGCTTGTTTTGGAGATAATCAGTGGCAAACAAAACAACAGATCTGTTGACACCCTTGTCCCAACTGTATGTCCTAATCTTCTTTTCTTTCCTGTTCATTTTTCTTGGTTCCCTTTTGAATCATTGGCACCAACTCTTCCCTCAACAAGATAGAAATAAGAAAGGTAACCCTGCAAATCAAGTGAAAAAAAGGCCTAAGTGATCTTCATTTTTGCTTGTTTTTATGTTTCCCCTTTTCTTTGCTTATCGTATGTTTTATTTGTTATTGGTTCTCTCATGTTACCATTGTTCGACATACTCATGGTTTCTCAAACTCCTTTCAATTTTCACTGTTACAGTCGTGGAAGCTTTTCATGTCGGATGCAATCATGCGAATAGTTGATCCATCAATGTCAATCATGGATCTGGCAGAAGTAACAAGGGTTATCCATATAGGTCTCCTTTGCACGCAAGAGTCCCCGTCGTTGCGGCCTTGCATGGCCGAAGTCGTTGACTACCTGAGTAAGCAGACTGTACAACTCCCCTCACCTACTAAACCTCCGTTCATGGATGAATTAGGTGCGGGTAGCTGTAGCACATCTGAGTCCCCTGAAGTTCCATTGAAACTATCAGTTTCCTATTCTCAATCATACAATGACTTGGAGCCAAGATGACTGTAATCCCCTTGTGTCTTCTCTGCTTTTCGTCACGTCCCCAAAGACATTAAGCACCCTTTGATTGATCCCTTGGAGGATGGATGATTGATCCCCCCTCCCCTTTTTTTTAACCATGTGATATACTCAAAGAACATGTAGTCATGCAGGGTTGCAACCTTACATAACCCACTCATTTGTTGATAATTTCACGTTCATTTTGTTTGTTTAGGTAATTGAAGGTCTTTCTTTTGTCAAAAGGCCTGCCATGGAGGAAACTGACGCATAATCTGAATGTACCTTTCAAACAAATTAAGGAAACCTTTTAGGATAAGCCTATTGATATGGTATCCATGTCTTTTCAAGGTATAGCCTTAGTTGGTTCGTGTTGCACCAAAAATCTTTTGGGGCACACAAAAGAAAAGTTCAGAATCTCTCTCTTATTTAAGGATTTGCACATAAAATTAGCAACAATATAATTTAGAGAAATTTATCAACTTGTACCAAAAGTTAAGGTACTTAAAATTTCACAGTAAGTGTGATTTCAAATCCACAATTATGAGTCATTTGTTAGGTTATTTGAAATTTGATCAAAATAACGATGAACTGTTTGAAATTACATCAAAAGGCAGATAGGTCAACTCTTAGGTGCAATTGGATCATTTTTCCTATAATTCATGTATTTATACATGAAACTATAATTCATACATTAGTCAAGTTCCTTTTTAATACTTTCTTTTGGCATCAATGTTTTGTGAAGCACTTATTGCTTGTTAAGATATTCGAGCATATATCTTCATAGCTTTAATCTCCTAAGAAGGTGAAAACGTTGCTCCTGATACAATGGTTGATATGGAACGAATAAAGCTGGCAATGGGCCTGGCCTGGCCCTAAAAAGGTAGGGCCCCAGGGCAGAGCTAGGGCCACTGCAGGCCAGGTTCATAGGGTTGAGAATTTATCCAGTCTAGATCCCAAACCCAAAATTCAGATCCTATCTGGATTTGTGTATGGATCTACGATTTGGATTTGAAATTCAGATCTGGATCCAAACTCTAGATCCGAATAGTAAATTCTGGTCAGATTTGGGAATAGGTGGACCCCACCAAGGTTTTTAAAATAATATATAATATATGTCACCACTTATATATTTATTAATTTATTTATATAATTGTTTTAACTTTTATAATTATATTTTAACTTCATAATATACAAAATTGGAATTGATCTTTATACTTTTTGGATCCAAATCTGGATCTGGGTGGATTCGGACCCAGACCCGATCCGAAAAATTCTTAACCCTACTGGTTCAGCCTGGCCGAGCCTCGTTTTTTCTTTTTTCTTCTTCTTTTTCTTATTCATTTATTTTTGGTCCAGCCCAAGCACTAACAGGGCCAGGGCTAGCCAGGGACCCAAGGAGTAGTATCCACCACTAAAGGTCTCACAAAAGGTCAAACCAAGAGGATTTTAAGCAGAGAATTATAAGTGTGAATACAAGAAGCCGCAATATGTATGAATGCGTAGGCCAGCTCTAAGTGGAATGACACCTATCTTATATACAGTCCGCCACTCTCCTAATAAAGCCACAAGTTCACTTGCAGACCACCAATGATTCTTTCACTGAGTATATGAATGCTGCTTTCTGCCTTTGTTTTTGACAAAATTTGGACTCTAGAGAGGTACAAGCTCTCCACATTTTAAGGCCATAAATGATTTAGTTCTCTCTTTTTAGTAGGGTAAGAAGACAAGAGTGGGGTCCTTTTTTTTTTTTTGGCCTTCTTGTTAGGATGTCAAGGAGGGACATCAGTAAGGTGTAAAGTGAGAACTCCAGTTGACGATCAAAGCACTCGCGACTATGGCAGGTAGCCAATTCTTGTCAAAGATCTCGTTATTGAGGGCTTTGTCCTTGCTACCATAGGCTTTGCTCGTAACCGACATTGCCTTCACTGCTCCTAAACAGCACGATAGGGGGAAGGGGTGGGCCTATCATTCTCATATCAATAGGGGTGGTAGAAAGAGAACCTGGCCTCTATTTGGAAAAGCATGAAAATGACATGTATCTAATCTTCAAGAATTTATTACAAATTGTAATAGAAGACATTTTCCTAAGTTAATTACAAGGATATTCTTTCTCTATCAATCATCACCATCCGAGTTTTATCCAACTATTTAGGGTCGGCTATATCAATCCTATTCCATCATTCTGCTAAGACTTCTCTGATTTTCTCTACCATGAAAGTTATTAAATCCACTATATTTGATCGCTAGGTCAGTGTTATTAGGAAGAAGATCAATGCCGAAAGGCGAGGGAGAGGGCCCATGCACATCTCAATGAAAAAAGATTCTAGTAAGGTTGATCTAAAAGAGTTAGACCCTTGGAAAAATGGTTTTTTGAAATAATGCGAATGGAAAATACATTACAACACACATCTAGTGAATGATTCATGATAAAATGTTTTAGATTCACAGGAACAGAGTACCAGATATAGCATGGTCCCCAAAGCCACCATCTAATGCGCTAATTAAGCACGCTATACTTTGCGCCATAGGGAGCACTCAGTGTTTTGATTAGGAAATGTAAACATGTGATACCCATGGGCCTTCCAATAAATTTTCAGTATGGTTTTCTACCAGGAAGATGAATATGCAAAAACGTGGTACACCTTGAGGTCCACGCTTGTAACCAACCATATAATGAGTTCCAGGCATAATTGAACTATAGGGAACCATAGAAATTTTCTCTATGGAAAAGTTGGGTTTCAACCCCCAAATTTCAACAACATTTCCATTTGGGCCACGGACTCAACCAAAAGAGAACGAAATTTTTTGTTTTTTAAATTTCAAAATGGGTGGTTATAAGAGTGTCATTGAACAGACACAGTTCCAAAAAAAATATTCTCAAATTTCGTGACTCACCCCATGCTATCCAATTTGTAAGTAGGAATGATTGTGACCTCCATATGCAAAAATAAAAAAGACTTTTTGTAGACATCCCGTTACTGATTTCTAGTATTCAAAATTTTATATTAATTTGTCTTTTGCCCTTTGTTTAAGTGATTAAACAAGGGAGATCAAAGTTTCAAACTCTTTAAGCCTGTCCCAAAAATATTTCTTTTAAAATAAATTGTTCACTAGTTCACCACCGATAGACCGATTCTCTAGATGGGCGATCCGTGTCACTGAACCGTATTTTTAAACCTTGGAAAAAACCACTATCTCTATAATATTAAAATAACATATTCCAAAACTGCGTGCGGTTTCCCATAGAAAGACTATTGAGAGTTGGTGAACCTTTCGGACCTAGGTATATACTAATCTAGAAGAAATTTAGCACATAATGAATAGTTGGTGAACGTTTCCTTAATCCGTCGGGTCAACAAATCTGGCCGTTCAAAGCATTTCAATCAAGATCAAAAGGAGTATTTCTAGTGGGATTCTTTGGACAAAATTCAGTGTTGATCAAACAAGTAATGATGTTGAATGTTATAAGTCTTTGGCATCACTAGAGACCCAACAAATGTGGTGTGAAATTCCCATCACATTTTGTAACTTTGATCAGATTTGACGCCATCGATATTCGGAAGAAATTCAACAACATTTTGTGATGAGTCCATTAAATGTATATTTCAGCATAAATTGTGAGTGTTTTGGTCAAAATATATGAATCAGTAAAAGCTTACTTATCATCCGAGCCTTAGCCTTGTCCCAATTAATAAAAAAACTTTTTATAAACTCTGTTGAAATGCCTGGCCAAAAATTCCATCCACGGTTTGTTTGGACCAAGATATTGGTTATGAAACTAGTAAACAAGGGAAAAGGGGATTGAGGGAATATTTGTGGGAGTGTCACCTCGACACTTCAAAGGGGCTAAGTGTCGCATATCGACACGGTTAGACAGGTTATCAACACATGACTGTGCGAGGTGGATGATTGCAATTCTGAGCATAGTGTCAATACTTTTTATGAAAACGTCTCCTAACCTCTTGAAGAGTTGAGGGTTTATGAAAACAATGGCGTGATTATTATATTGCATCATGGGTGCTACCACTCCGCTCTAGTCATAACTTCGAAATGTATGTGGACATAATTAAAGGATTGTTTATAAAAAGACTATTTATTTTTTGTACATGAAGATCACAATTATTTCCATTCATTAGATTTCAAAATGAATAGCTTGGGTTGAGTCACGAAGTTCGAGAAATTGTTTTAGAACTTTATGTCTATTCAATGACGCTTTCACAATCACCCTTTTTGAAATTTAAGTGACAACAATGATTAAGACTTCCATATATAAAAGGTAAATATTTGTACATTCTAAAATTTATACCATACTTTGCAGGACTTTAGATTCGAATATTCTAAAAAAATACTAATACTTCTACTAACACAATTACAAAAAAATATTAACAATATTAAGCAAAATATTATTAGTATTACTAATACGTTTTAAAAGCATCATTTTGGAAAATAAGAAATAGAAACATCTTTTAAATATTTTCTTGCATAAAATAAATTTATATTTTCAAGTATATATAGAGTAATGATCCTATGCGACCCTCCCACACGTATGTGTGTAGGACCTCAAAGGATCACCATTAAATTTGACACCGATCTCTAGAAAATTTATCACAAGGGTGTGAGACTTGACTTTTCTAGAGATCTGTGCCAAATTTAATAGTGATCTTTTGGGGTCCTTTACACATAGGTGTAGGATGGTCTTATAAGATCATTACTCTAAAATTTCAAGTTATTTGGATTTGTAAAAAAAAAATTAAAATTTAAACACGAAATAAAGTCATGACCGTCAGATTGCCCAGATTCAATCTGGGCCCTTGAACTCATATGTTCATATGCGTTAGTGGGCTAATCCCAGCTTTTTCCATATATATAGGGTGTGGTTTGTATAGAGCTTAGGCCTAAACAATCAAATTATAGCCTACCTTCAATTAGTGTCAAGAAATGTGGTTTTAATATTGAAAATATTTGTAATAGCCTTAAAATATATTTTCATATTCATTTATAAAGTTTAAAGCTTCAAAAATAGTATAGATCGACATATCTATGAAAACTTGAACATCTTGAAAATTGACGGTCCAAAGACGTGTTACAAAATGCACTATTTTCAAAACTTGAAATCCATTTTTTTTCTCATGTCCATGTATCTTGATGTCGAGATGATCGATTTGAAGATATTTGGGCATCAAAACAAT